GGAGAAGACATTAAAAAATCTTGAAACTTAACATATATGAAAAAAATATTCTATTTTACAAATTTAGTGGAATGTAATATATAAATGCTTCTCAATACATTTATGAAAATATCATCTATACCCGGAAAAATATAGACAGTTTCAAAAGAGTTAGTGATTGCACCAATAAAAGCTTACGTAACAATAACAAACTGATTTTACCTAAATGTCGTATGGCTAAAGTCAGTAATTCGTTTTATGGAAATTGCGTAAGGTTTTACAATAAAATACCAGAGTCTGTTATAAATCTGCCAGAAAAAAGATTTAAATGTCAAATAAAACAGTTCCTTTGCAAAAAAGCTTACTATAAAATTGAAGAATTCGTTAACGATAATAATGTTTTTATAGAAAGAAAGAAAGAAGAAAGAAAAATATTTTATTCAGTGCAATATAGAAAAACTTTAAATCCATAGCACAGACAATATTATCTAATTACACTAATAATGAGTGCGTAGCGATTTCTATGTTGATTATCGCATGCCTCTTACTTGTTATACTGTAATTATTTATATAAAAAAAAACATCTATTAAAAAGAGCAACACACAAGTTTCTTGCTCGTTCTTCTTGTGATGAATCTGCATTCCGAATGAGTGGTAGAATCAAAATATGACTATTCAAAAGTGCTTGTAATGAGTTTATTTGAATAAAGATTATTTCTATTTCTATTTCTAAATATTTTAAAAGCCGAATATCATATTTTGTATGTGCAAAATGTTGCCTAAATAATATATATGTAGCTATTTAGTAAATAAGAGAGATCTACGTGCCTGCAGACAATCCCCGAAAGAAGTTTTGCAGGACAATGATAGGAAATTTGGAAAAAGAAATATTTTTATCTATCTAACAAGTAATCTGTCTGTATGTATGTAGTACTAAGTTTTTTATTATATTAAGTTTATTTACTTAATATAATAAAAAACTTAGTACTTACAAATTGATTCTCAGATCATTATGTATTTATTGACGACCTCGGTGGTCTAGCGGTCTCGCACACCGCTTTACGTCCGATGGTCGCGGGTTCGATTCCTCGCACGGCACAAACATTTGTATTCATGAGTATGATTGTTTGTATCGGTCTGGGTATTTTCTATGTATAATATGTATGTATTTACGAAAAAAAAATTATCTATGTATTTGTATCAGTTGTCTAGGACCCATAACACAAGCTTTAGCTAGCTTAACTTGGGTCTACATGGCGCTGTGTGAATTGTCCTGAGATTATTATTATTATTATTATTTATATATAATATTTATATGTTTATGTTTTTTTTATAGAAAATATTTTGCTTTATCTTTTTTTACATTTCTCATTTATATTACCAACCAACCAATCTTTCTCTGCACTAATGGTTGACAGGTAGATAACGACGCAAGGTGTTAACTCCGCCGTATGTACACATTGTTTTTGTGCATTAAACTTAAATAAATAAATATTTTTTTTTACCACTCACTAGAAACAGTGATGAGTCTATCATCACAAGAAGAATTAGCAAGAAACTTCCGTGTTATTCTGTAGACGTACTAATTCCTGACCTAACTGGCTTACGTAACTGTAATTCTCAGTACAATAAAATTAAACCTTTTTTCCAGTCCGGGCTACTTCGGCCTATCAGATGTGTTAGGCCGTAATCTTCAAACATCTATTGTGCTCGCCCGATTTTATAGGCGAGGAATTTTATGGTGCCGTTAACAGGGATAGTTTTACCTCGGGATTGTACTTTGTGAATTAGATTTTGTGACGCTTTGTTATCTACTTGGAATTAAAGGTCGTTTAAAGATAGAATTTGATGTCAGCATGTTCATATAAAAATTTACTGTCCAATAAAACGTCTTTTTATAATCAATTAATTAAATATGATTATTTAAAAGTGCTTATATTAAGTTTATTTGAATAAACATTATTTTTATTTCTATTTCCATTAAGTGTTTTAATTTTCAAATTTACGAGAAATTTGAAAATTAAGAGACTCAAATGGAGATGGCACATAATAAGAGAATTTTATAAATAGACTAGAAAAGGACAAGACGGTATCCCAAGGAAGCTAAAAGAAAAAGAGGCAGACCCCACACAAGATGGGAAGCTGCTATCAGGGAAATGGGTCAGAGTGACTTAAGAAAGAGGAAAATGGAAATGATTGGAGCAGATATTAGAGCATACAGATCTACAAAAAGTAAATAATATGAATTATAATAGTATAATCTAAGCTGATCTGAATAAACGTTATAATAATAATAATTAATATGTGTTTCCTGATAGTACAAGTACAATAGAAACGTATTAACTAAACAGATGAAGCTGTTCTAAAACTCGCGCTTATATATTGCAGAATATATCTATTTCATATTAATTAGTCATTATAACAGTGCCGAGGTACGTGCGTGTTTACTTTGCCCTATAACTTCATGCCTCAAGTTAATGTTTGTCAAAGAGGCAACTTTTAATGAATGCAAACTTTGAATTTTATGCATAACCTCATAAAGTAAATTTTGAAGACAAAATGGGAAGGAAGCTCCTCGAATTTACCGGTATGCCATCCGTTTTCAACGCTTCCGTGAATTTTTTTACAAGCCCATTTTAATACGCATATATGGTCTAGTATAGTACCATACATACTCTGCACAGTTTATACGTACAATTAAGACAATACACGGGATCTTATCATGTTTTATTCATTTTTAGTGGATTCCTGACATTTCGGTGGTTTCAACCATCAAATATTTCGACAATTTGAGAACAGTAAGATCTCGTGATTTGTCCTGGTTATACGTAAAAATAATTACCGTATCAATTTTAAAACAGTATCTTTACAATTTGTCCATACTACCTATTGGATATTTTAACTTAATTAATATAAACTACATTTAATTTATGGACAGGGCTGATTCATGCTCCAAAAAAGAACAGTTAGACCAATCTTTCGAAGCAACAGGAATGGAATTGTGATTATTTTGGACAATTGGGTGAGTATTCTTTCTGATCCATCTCTCTATATTCTGGTAATATTTGAAACAATTCGCTAAACACATAAATATATATAAAACTAATGAAGAGAGACAACAAGGAGACAACATTTTGTGAACCAGTTGTCATCTACACTGAAGCTAGGCGAAACATAATTTCCATAACAATATGTCGCATTTTAGAAACATTTATATTCATGAGTATAATAGTTTGTATGTTTGTATTGATGTATCGTATATTATTCGATATATTATATCGTATATATTATATTTTCATAAATCAAAATTTGTACAAAAATACTTGTATCTATAGTATAAGTTCTGCTTAGTTACGCACCAGATGGCGTTGTGTAAATTGTCCTTGTTTAAATATTATTATATGAATGAATGATATTTTAAAACGATCTTATTGTAACGACTAATTTTATAAATGATTTCACTTCCTCTCTTTAAAAGTACAGTACCGATGCTCCTTGTTTCGCGCGACTCAGTATAATGTAAATGGGATTTAATTATGATAATGAAGATAACGTCTTTAAGTAAATAATGTAATAAAAACCCGAGCACGAGTTAGCGAGTACAACTCGCTCTTGACCATTCAAGGGACTTAAAACGTCTGGTCGACTTTAAGATTGCTAAAATATTCAGAGAGAATAATAACAACAAGTGGCCCACTACATAACTTTGTTAGTTATACATTTATACAATAATCTCAGGATAATTCACACAACATTTCTAGTCCCAAGTTAAGCTAGCTAAATCTTATGTTATCGGTACTAGATAACTGATATAAATATGTACATATTGTACTCCCAGAATGATACAAACAATTATAATCATGAATACAAACGTTTGGGCAGTGCGAGAAATCAAACCCGCGGCCATCGGAACTAAGGCGGTGTGCTAAACTGCTAGACCTCCGGGGCAGTCATATGTATAATAGTGACAATTTTTTTAAATTTTTATTTGAATTAAAAAAAAATCGTTTTTAGAAGCAATATCACGTGGGATCAATTAATTATTAGTAATATATTACATTGCTAGCAAGTTACTATCCTGTAGAAAAATAAAAATATTTATATGCAAATAGTAACACGGATTATATTTCATTCGAGCAGTACCGCGAAATAGAGTTAATAATAAAAAACTCACCTCTCGTCTTGTCGTATGTCTGATCAACGATCCGCTCCATTTCAGAGATATGGAGGGGCTAATAATAAAAAACTCACCTCTCGTCTTGTTGTATGTCTAGTCAACGATCCGCTCCATTTCAGAGATATGGAGGGGCTAATAATAAAAAACTCACCTCTCGTCTTGTTGTATGTCTAGTCAACGATCCGCTCCATTTCAGAGATATGGAGGGGCTAATAATAAAAAACTCACCTCTCGTCTTGTCGTATGTCTGGTCAACGATTCGCTCCATTTCAGAGATATGGAGGGGCTAATAATAAAAAACTCACCTCTCGTCTCGTTGTATGTCTAGTCAACGATCCGCTCCATTTCAGAGATATGGAGGGGCTAATAATAAAAAACTCACCTCTCGTCTTGTCGTATGTCTGATCAACGATCCGCTCCATTTCAGAGATATGGAGGGGCTAATAATAAAAAACTCACCTCTCGTCTTGTCGTATGTCTGGTCAACGATCCGCTCCATTTCAGAGATATGGAGGGGCTAATAATAAAAAACTCACCTCTCGTCTTGTCGTATGTCTGATCAACGATCCGCTCCATTTCAGAGATATGGAGGGGCTAATAATAAAAAACTCACCTCTCGTCTTGTCGTATGTCTGGTCAACGATTCGCTCCATTTCAGAGATATGGAGGGGCTAATAATAAAAAACTCACCTCTCGTCTTGTCGTATGTCTGATCAACGATCCGCTCCATTTCAGAGATATGGAGGGGCTAATAATAAAAAACTCACCTCTCGTCTTGTCGTATGTCTGATCAACGATCCGCTCCATTTCAGAGATATGGAGGGGCTAATAATAAAAAACTCACCTCTCGTCTTGTCGTATGTCTGATCAACGATCCGCTCCATTTCAGAGATATGGAGAGGTATGTAGTCTGCGAAGCTATGCTCTGCAGTTACCGTCATACCATTCGATTGGGCCAGCTCCTATAATACAAAACGTACACATATAAATTATATTAATAATACTACAAAGCTTCATAAACTATCGCGGTGGTCTAGTGCTTTAGAACACAGCATTACTTCCGTAGATCGCGAGTTCGATTCCTCGAAAGTCTTCCTTCCTGTGTATTCATGAGTATGATTGTTTATATATGTCTCAGTGTTTTCTATATACATATATTAAGTATGTATCTACAAAATATATCACTGTAGTGCCCATAACACAAGCTATGCTTAGCTTAGAATTAGATCGCACTGAGTGAGTTGTCCTGAGATATTATTTTTTGTGTGAGTATATTAGTCTCACCTATTTCAGCAGCAGTTTCATTTGCTAAAGTGAGATGAGAACTAAACGCATGAGTGGGTCACATGAGAACGTGATGTGTGTTGTACTGCTCATGTATATAGGCAAGGGTTAACATTTACAATAACGTGGGCTACCAGTTTTAATATTGAAACTAGTGTATGGGATTTTAGACGTATTTATGAGTACTTTTTAGTGTTAAGGTCATCTACAGAGCGGGTCAACGCCGCCGGAGTCGCTGTAGAATCCTAACGCGACCTCACGACGCCAGCAATGGGGCTCTACCAGCTAAAAATCCATATGATTAGGTACTCCGTATCCCACACACCCACTCGTCAGCACTCTGACAGGAAGACGATCTATTTGAAGATTTTTACACAAAACAAAAAGGTGTCACTTATACTTTTTTGTTTATTTATTTACTTGTCCATAGATTATGAAATAATAAATGCCATAGAATATATAAATATTAGTTGTACATTTTATACTATAAAAGATTATTTATGTAACCTAAACATTCTATGTGAAAGGATTAGAATCCTGACACAAATATAGGGCTCCATGTTACACTCTGAATGTATCAAAGAGCTATATGCATGCTAAGTCGTCGACTTGGGTTTCCTTTGTTATCAACATTTTATTTATTTCTTTAGACATCTTCAATGCATATAATGGCATACTTAGTACCTAACAACGTTTTATATATATCAACAGAGAGTAAAAGTAGAGTAGTCATGTTCACTAAAATGTCTAGACATTGATGGCTGGCTCATCCGTCATACTCGTGAACGAGTGCTGCATGTAGGGACTGGTCTGCTCTTATCACTACGACTGATTTAATCTTATTGTGTTTTTATACTTGAGCCTAAATAAATTAGTGCTGGTTGGTAGTTTGTATTCACACGTTTCGACTTGTAAAATGTGAACTTACAAGGATTGTTTGAAAGAGCAACACACAAGTTTCTTGCTTATTCTTCTTGTGATGAGACAACTTTCCGAATAAGCGGTAGATTTAAAAAAAATTTTGACTATTCAAAAGTGCTTAAATTAAGTTTATTTGAATAAATGATTTTCTATTCTATTCTATTTTATTCTATTCTAAACAATGAGAAAGAACTACAGACAATAATTGACGGTGTAAAATATGTAGCTATAATAAATTTAGCATGTAGACGGCATAGTAAGGGAAACTATGGATAGGGGTGGATGAGTCGACAAGGTCAAACATTGTATTACTAGGTTGGGAGGAGTCACAATACTCCTGTAAAAATCATAAAGTCTAGGACTGCTTCAACCCTCTTACGAGGGTTAGATTTCGTGACATCCCATTTAGATCTTAGTATTAAAACACGAATTTGAACAATTAAAACTGTGATCAACTGTTTGTTGGGGGTAAAAATTACTGAAATTGCCATAATTTCATTTCTTTTGTTTTTATTATATATTTATTTCAGGTAACTAATGGCTTAAATTAAAAATACCTCATAGACTAACCTACATAATTATTATATTAATATTAATTATCTTTGTGGTCACGGCACTGACAACGGCAATCTGCCACGATAGCGCCGATATACCACACCCTTCGGCCAGTAGTCTTCCTACATTAATGTTGGTTGGACCCGGGCCATGAACGGATGACCCCTACGTTGCTTTCATACGTAATATACTTGTACAATTCTATATAAAAACAAAATTGTTACTGGCAGCCTATAAATATATGCGTTGCCATGTCAGTTAAACATAATAAAAAAAAAGAATTTTAAAAAAGAACAAATTTAATTCAAGAGATGTTATCGAGACATTGCATTTTTATAAATGTTTTTTCTTTTATTTCTTTATTTTTATTTAATAAAAATGTTTTTTAAATCTATCAATCAACAATTCCTCGTCAAACAAATAATATTACATAATACGACTGCGTAGTATGTTTGACATTTCGACTCTTGCTCGAAATAAACAGCTGCCCGATTAAGGAGTTAAACAATATTTTGTTTATTTTAATAGCTTTATAACTGAAGTATTTATAGGTATTATTAAAATGTCGGCCATCACGGCGTATAAGGCACCAATTTACGCGAAAGCACGTTCACGTAAACAAATGAACTTCTCATAATGTACTTGGTTGGGGCGCTTGCAGTAGATAGTGCTTATAGAATAGAATAGATGTAACCATTATTCAAACTTTAAGCGCTTTAAGCATTCATTTTTGCTATACTTATTTTTTATGAATACTTTTAGTAGCTAGTTTTTTTTTATATTTTAGTATAAACATCCTTACTTCCTTACTAATATTATAAGTGCGAAAGTAACTCTGTCTGTCTCGCTGTCACGCCAAAACCGATTTAAATAAAATTTGACACATAGGTAGTCTAGACCCAGAAAAAGGATATAGGCTACTTTTTAATGCGAATAAAGGGTTGTAAAGGTTGTAAAGGGTTGTAAGGGGAATTGTAGGGCTCTATGGAAGTATCGTCATTTTTAAAACTAGAATCATGAAACTTATTTATTAGGCTGTTCATTAAATGTAAATAAATATGACTAAGTAAAAAGTGTAAAAGTGTTACCCTTAAGGGGTTAAAAAATAGGGGATGAAAGTTTGTATAGAAAATCGTCATTTTAACGTCAAACTATAACGAGCAATCTATCATCTTTGCCTTTTTTGGGTTAGATTATTAAACATTTTTTCTATATTTGGCCAAGGTCACTACAACACGCGGACAAAGTCGCGGGCATAGCTAGTGCATTTATAAGTATGAATTATAACAATTTTCGGACCAACGTTTTGGGATTGTATTCTATTATTCTTACTTCCATACTAATATTATAAATGCATAAGTAATTCTGTCTATCTGTCTGGCTTTCACGCCCAACCTACTGAACCGATTTAAATGAAATTTGGTACACAGGCAGTCTAGATCCTGAGTAAATTATTCTAAAGTCATATATACTATATAATAAAAATATTTCAGGATAATTCACATAGCGCTATGTAGTCCCAAACCAAGCCGAGCTGTGTTATGTGTACTAGACAAAAGAAAAAATTCATACATTTTATTTGTATATATAATATATACATTATATATATATATTTTTTTCTGTATACATTATATATTATTGGTTTGGGCGTTTTCTATGTATTTAATATATACATAGAAAGCGCTCAAATCGTAACAAACAATCATGCTCATGAATACAAATATTTGTACCGTTCGAGGAATCGAAACCGCAATCACCGGAAGTAAGGTGGTGTGCGAAACTGCTAGACCACTAGGGGCTCTAAGATAATATGTACATAGGTCACAAAGTTATGGCTGGATATAAGTTACCTTCGCCAATAATTCAGAATACTCCATCTAACATTATAGTCGTAACAATTTTATTTTAACAAAATAGAGTATATAAATTCTTACCTATCGAATGTGCAAAGAAAGTTAGTAATTGTTTTTTTGCAAATGTCGACGGTTCTCTGTAAAATTCGAGAGTTTGCTCGCAGACTGCTTTATCGATCTTTGTCTCAATGGACTGAGAACACTCAGGTTTATTAGCTTAGCTTGCTATACAGTCGCAGGTTCGATTTCAATGTGTACATAGACATGAAAGAGCTTTTCTACCGCATATATCACGGGGAGTGTTCTGAGAAATTGTTCGGATTAATACCAGCTGTTGAGTTTCACCACCGTACCACCCGCCAGAAACTGCAATACCATCCTGATCACATGGATGAATGGCGGTCTTCCACAGTACGGTTTTCTAGAAACTTTTTGCCTCGCACAACCACATTGTGGAATCACCTTCCAGCAATGGTATTTCCGAACCGATACGATATTGAAACCTTCAAGAAAAGAGCTTATTCCTTTTTAAAAGGCCGACAACGTACTTGCAATTCCCCTGGTGTTGCGGGTGCTCATGGGCGGCGGTAATCACTTACCATCAGGTGAGACGCATGCTCGTTTGTCCCTTGTGTTATAAAAAAAAAAGAGTTTTGTTTAACTTGTCAAGTAGGAGTACTCTCTGCATGATCCAGCCTCCATGAGGAAGAGGTACCGTCGCTTAAACATACGATATAACCTAAGTAGTCATGCTCACTAATGTCCAGACATGTGGCGGCGTGGTGGTTTTAACTTCAAAATGTAAAGTTACAAAAAAATAATTAAAAAAGTAACACGACAGCTTTCTGAACGAGCGGTAGATTAATAAAAATAAGCGATGACTATTCAAAACTGGTTGAATGTAAATTAATTTGAATAAATCATTTTCTAGTCTATTCTATTCTATATGCATACTACGTATGTGGATGACGGTTCCCACTTATCACCAGATGGGCTGTCAATTCGTTTCCCATCCCAGGCACAGAAAAAATATTTGGAATTTGCTATCGATATCTACCTCAGTAAACATTGTCTTATTAGAATTATCACTGATTATTGTTATAAAAAAACGTATCACTACATATTAATCAATAACAATAATACAAGTGATTTCACAATAATAACGCAACAGGAAAAGATTCGACCAGAAATCCGGCACTAGTATGAATTACATGGCATTATATGAAGGATATATTTTTTGTATTCCAACCTTGTACAGTTTGGTAAGAAATATTGCTGGATTTTCTATCGTTATAACCAATGTGACCATATCTTTTTGTCAAATTGGGACTATAGAAAAAAGGATATAA